CCCTGTTCTTTAAGGACCATGGCATCCCTGTTCTTTAAGGACCATGGTATCTCTGTTCTTTAAGGACCATGGTATCCCTGTTCTTTAAGGACCATGTTATCCCTGTTCTTTAAGGACCATGGTATCTCTGTTCTTTAAGGACCATGGTATCCCTGTTCTTTAAGGACCATGTTATCCCTGTTCTTTAAGGACCATGGTATCTCTGTTAATTGGTCAGCAAACTCTCCTGACCTTAACCTCATAGAAAATCTATGAGGTATTGTGAAGAGGAAGATGCAGGAAGATACACCAGACCCAACTATTCATAAGAGCTGAAGGCCACGATCAGAGCAACCTGGGCTCTCAGAACACCTGAGCAGTGACACAGACTGATCCACTCCATGCCACGCCTCATTGCTGCAGTAATCCAGGCAAAAGGAGCAACAACTAAGTACTGATGCTGTACATGCTCATACTTTTCATGTTCATACTTTTCATGTTCATACTTTTCATGTTCATACTTTTCATGTTCATACTTTTCAGTTGGACATTTCCAAAAAATCCTTTTTTAATTGGTCTTAAATAATATTCTAATTTTCTGATATACTGAGTTTTCATTAGTTGTCAGTTATAATAATCAACATTAAAATAAATAAACATTTGAAATATATCAGTATGTGTGTAATGAATGAATATAATCTACAAGTTTCACTTTTTGAATGGAATTACTGACATAAAGAAACTTTTATGAAATTCTAATTTTATGACCAGCACCTGTACATTCTGACAAATATATGTATTTTATTTTCTAGGTTGTGTGATAAATGCATTTTTCTCAAACTGGTAAAAGGTTATTATTGTTGCCCTGTTATTACAGCTTTTAAAATGTTGCTCTACCTTCATTTTAGGCTTCTGGAGACAGACAGCAAGTCACTGCGCTCCATGAATGGCTCCCGGCGAAACAGCGGCTCCTCCCTGGTGTCCAGCTCATCTGCCTCATCCAACCTCTCCCACCTGGAGGAGGACACGTGGATTCTGTGGGGAAGAATAGTTAATGAGTGGGAGGATGTGCGCAAGAAGAAGGAGAAGCAGCTAAAGGTGAGGATAGTTCCTGTGATAAGAACTGACCGTCACTTCAAAGGTTAAAGTATTATCTGAGCTGCGACTGCTGGAGAATTGTTGAAGACTTCAAGTTGTGAGGAAGTAGGCAAAAATTAAATTGCAGTCTTACCTAATTGAGTGTTTTTGGCCTGTCAGGCTTGGTTGTAGACTTCCTCTTTAATATATGCTTTGTGCACAGCCAGAGATCTGCATGGAATTCATTTTCACAGCCAGTTTATAAAAAAATCACAACTTATTTTATGTACACAGCTTGTAAAACTGCTCACTTTTCATTGCTCATTTCCACTCACGTTGAACACCTCAAGCATTTTTGAACCCACCTTGTCAGTTGTCCCCATGTTTTTAAACTGTCCCTTGTCACAGAGTGGAGCAGGGCAATTGGTAATACTGTCTGTCCATGTGTGCATGTTGTGAGCACGATAACTGGAAAAACAAATGAGGTACTCACTTCCATTTTAGTGTGTGGCTGCTTCTAGGCATAAGAAAGGTTCCTTTTGAAAATTGGGTTGACAAATCAAAATTCAAGATGGCTGTCGTCATAACTGTCTGTGTTGCGATCATAACTAGAAAAATAAGGAACGTGGCAACTTCCATTTTGATGTGTGGCTGTATCCAGGTGTAAAAAGAATCCTTATCAAAAATTTTTTATCCAAGTCAAAATCCAAGATGGCCACCAACTAGGGCTGGACCATATTATATTGTTCACGATAATACCAGTAAAAAAGCTTGCCCGGGAAAATAAATTATATCCTGATATGCTAATTTCATGACGTAAGTACGTCAGCATTTGTCCCGACCCGTTAACAGAACCGAGCGTGCCAAACTACCGAACCGAACTGCGTACCCCCCATCCACCTGTCGGTACTGGCGTAACGCTAATTAGCTGCACGCAACATTAGCTAGCTAAAATGCTACAAAACAAACAATGCGCGGCTCGGCTGCATTTCTCCATCCAGTTCTAAACTGCAGGTACAGTGAGGAAAATCAGTATTTGAACACCCTGCAACTTTGCAAGTCCTCCCACTTAGAAATCAAGGAGGGGTCTGAAATGTTCATCTCAGGTGCATGTCCACTGTGAGAGACATAATCTAAACAAAAAATCCGGAAATCACAATGTAGGATTTTTTTATAATTTGTTTGTGTGTTACTGCTGCAAATCAGTATTTGAACACCTGTGAAAATCAATGTTAATATTTGGTACAGTGGTCTTTGTTTGCAGTTACAGAGGTCAAAGGTTTCCTTTAGTTTTTCACCAGGTTCACTGCAGCAGAGATTTTGGCCCATTCCTCCACAGATCTTCTAGATTAGCCAGGTTTCTGGGCTGTCGCTGAGAAACATGGAGTTTGAGCTCCCTCCAAAGATTTTCTATAGGGTTTAGGTCTGGAGACTGGTTAGGACACTCCAGAACCTTGATGTGCTTCTTACAGAGCCACTCCTTGGTTCTCCTGGCTGTGTGCTTCGGGTCATTGTATTGTTGGAAGACCCAGCCACGATCCATCTTCAATGTTCTAACTAAGCTGCCGGTACAAACACACGCAGCTCAGCTGAGTCTCTTGAGGTCACAGTCCATGGAGCAAGAACAGAGTCAGGTGATCAGAGACGGAGCATCAGAGAATCATTCCTGCAGGAACAGAGGATGATGAAACTCCACCAGCTTCAGGGTCAGATGATCACCTTGTTACAAGTTCTGGAAGTTACAGCTCATTTAAAGGAAACATATATTTTATTGTATGTTACATTTATGTTCAACAGATCTTAAGCTTCATTTTATTTAGTCATTTTGGGAAACTGCACCTGCACTTTAGTTTTTGTGGTGGATTTATTTGATCTATATTTTGTGCAGACTTTCAATCTAAATAACAGAAGGATCATTTTTATTTTTTATTTTTATAATTTGAGACTGAGTACTTCACTAAATAAAGTAGTTTCAGTAAAATGAACCCTTATTGTTTTTTAGTTTTTATATAATACTGCAAAGCAACATGTTGTTAATTTTGTCAAATGAATAACTATGATTTTTTTTTTTGATTTTTTTTTTTTTTGTTATATCACTAAATTTATCATTATCGTCAGAATGCTCTGAAATATCACAATATTATATTTGAGCCATATCGCCCACCCCCATCACCAACATATATACAGTACTTATGTAAACCTGTCACCCCTTTCATTGGAGGAAATTGTGCCTGCTAGTATTTCAAGGTTCCTCAGTTGATTGGCTCCATCATTGCACCTGGTCGTGGATTAAGTGTCTCCCTCCGTTTGTCAGGATCCATCAATCTGCACTACCTGAGACAACAAATAAAGAAAATTGACCTCTGTTATGTTATGTTGTTTATTTGTCATATGCAGGTTAACACAAGGTTAACAGTACAATGAAATGTTCAGAATGAGAAGAACCGATTTAACTCGTTTAAAAAAAACAGCAACAAGAAATGCTAAAGCATGTAATAAGGGTACAAAATAAAGTACCAAACAGTGCAAAAGAAATATATTTACAAGATCCAAAATAAATATAGTAGACAACATGGTAGAATATAACGGTGCAAGTAGGATGAATTAGTATAAATAAGTTCTTTTCTACTCTAATCTTGTACCAAAAACATTAAGGTTTACTTGCATTCCCTGTTCAATTCCATCCATCCATCCATCCATGGATGGACGGATTGGTGTGATTACACTTGGAGTATTTGAGTTCTTCAGCTTATTGGAGGTGAGCCCTGAGGGCATTCTTGGTTCTGTCAGGTGCTCAGCTGGTGGCAGGTAGGGAGTTAGACTGAGATGTTACATCTGTCCGGCGGTAACAATTCAATTCAATTCAATTCAATTCAAAAATACTTTATTAATCCCAAAGGGAAATTATTTGTTGTTGTAACTCGTTATCCTCATTTCATTAAGAAATGTTATAGATACTGATGGCTGTAGGCAGGATGGATTACTTGTAAAGGTCCATCCCTCAGTGGATCCTAAGAAACTGGCTGCAGATGCCGTCTGCTCCGTCCACCCAGACTCGGCTGGCCTCTTGGTTCCCCTGGACTGTAGGACCGCTTGAATGCTGGGCAGAACTCCTCCCAGAGCGATGGCCACTCCTCCCAGCAGTCTGCCGAGCTCCTCATAGCTGCGGACAGCCGATTGTAGGTGCTGAGGGACGATCCTGTCCTTCCGCTGTCATGAGCCGTGTTTCCTGCTAGTTCCAGGATCTCAGTGGTCAGGCACTCGAGCACAGCTAGCAGGTAGATGAGAATGCGTCCATAGAACATCCTTTTCAACTCATTTGAGAGTTGGGGCCATAGTTGAGATATTATTTGATCATTTGAGATGCTAATCAGCTGCTGTTGTTGTAGAAAACTGCCTTGTTGCCATGGTTACGCATCATAACAAATGTCCAAAACTAAAAGAGTTTCAGTAAAAATCCTTCCAGCTGCACAGCATCAGATACCAGAGGAAACAATCATCCAAAAAATGTGATTTACATCCAGAAAAAGAGGAATTAAAGTTTCCAAAAGCAAAATCTCAGAATGAAAGTAACAGAGCTGCTCCAACATGCAGCCACCTGGAGCGGCACAATTCTAGAACGCAGGCCTCATGACTGCTGTACCCCAGTAAAATTACATTTCAGAAACATGCACATGGTGGTTTGCTCATGTAGTTTTCAGGGTTTCTGTGGAGTATTAAAATGTCTTAAATTTATAAATCTCAATTTTAGACTTTAAAACGTCTTAAATATGTCAATATTTTACTATTTAAATTTTTATTTATGAACATTTGTGTATTCAATCATTTCTTCCATCTTTTTCCTTTCTATTTTGTAAAGTTAATGCACTGTCAACATTGATTGGTTCTGTGTTGTAGTTCTGTTTGAGGATTTCAGGTGTAACAAAACTACATGTCCCATCATGCAGTAAGGCTCTCTCTCAAAAATAGTTTATTTACAGACATTCAGCCTTCCCTGCAAGAGTATCCCGTTACTTTGCACCTGAAACGTTGGTTACGTACTGTAACCCCAGATTCTATGAATATAGGCTTCGCCCTTTAAGGCTGTCGCTGATGGTTTATCCCGTTATGCGCAAGCATAAGCACGGAAAAAATTAGTCCACGCCCACCTGCTGTGTGGGCCCCACCCGATCCGTATAAATTACATTAAGAGCGGGTAATCTGCTCCCAAATAGCTTATTTTTTTCTTCAGCTATTCAGGAACCAGTGAGGCCCGACGCTTAAAGGGCTACGCCTATACTCATAGAATCTGGGGTTACAGTACGTAACCAACGTTCTATGTCATATAGGCTTCGCCCTTTAAGACTGTCGCTGATGGGTTAAGGGCGAAGCGGATGTGGTCCTCGCCTCACTGGGTCCATTCGAACACAGTAAGAAGCGGAAGCTTGCCCAGAAAAAACGTCTTGTCACTCAGCTCCCCGTGTGCATAACTACGCATCGCGTAATTGTGTGCCATGCACAGACGCATGTTGTGTAACTATGCGTTCTGACAAAGCATGAACGCCCCGGAAAACTTTCAACGGGGAGAAGAAGTTGAAAAGGGGGGGGGGGGGGCATGAACCAACTGGTTCATGGCTGAACAGTATAAACAGATTAATCTCAATGAACTGATTATTGATCAAATGAACTGATTGGTAACAATAATCATGAACTGATTAGTGACAATAGAACCAAAATCACAGACACAACTTGTGGCTGATAACAACATCTCACACTGTGAAACATGCAGACAGATGTGAGCTTAAACAGAGTTCCATGAAAACAACAATATTCATTCTGTTAGAGCACTAAGGACAGAATGTGTCTTGGAACGAGCCGTTACATCACGTAGGTAAAAGCGAATAAATGAGCAGGGTGTTGACCATGCAGCCACAGTGCAAATGTCCTGCATTGACATACCATTATGCAGAGCAGTCGAAGATGCGATACCCCTGGTCGAGTGTGCTTTGAGGTTGACAGGAGGCTCTAAATCTGATGCTCTG